TCTCGCCATTGGTGCTTTGTTGCTTCGATCAGCTGTTTTTTCATCGTCGTATTCCTTCTTTTCATCGGCATTATATGCGCTCTTCCTTTTTTGCTTTTTTTCAGAGCTTGCTGCACTTACACAAATTTTCATGCTGCTGCTTTTTTCGATATTGTTAGTCGCTCGTTTAATATTGCATAAGTTTTAATTATCTAGTTCTGTTTACCTTCTCTGGTATTCTCGTAGTTATGGGCAGCTTTCGACTGATATGCAAAAGAAGCGTGCTGTAATCTCCAGCGCTATAATTGGTATTGATAGATTCACACAGATCATTCGATTTTCTCAGGGTTTGGGTCTGAAAATTCAAGGTCTTTCGTTATAAACGTTTTTATTACGAATTGGGCCATGCCTTTTTATAAAGCGAATTGCAAACATTTTTAAAAACTCATTACATGGTCAGATGTGACCATACTAGCACGTGTGATTCACATTTCCACGAGTTTTTTGCTTCGTTTTAGGCCGACCAAAAGGCAGTTTTTTGCTGGCGATCATCCATTAAATTTTATTCGAACAAAACAGTGGTCTCCAGCCAAAAAGAAGCGTGTTCAACCAAATCTTTTTAAGTAAGTATTCCTTCACTTTATTGTTTGCGAAATTTTAAAATTTTAAGAAAAGCAAATTGCTCGTTCTACTTCTAAAGACTGCTGCAAAACCAGCCGCTTCACTAGAACTTCCGAAGGTGGGTCTGGAGATAGTGGAAGTTGCATTTGATCAGGAGTTGCGATCGACTCAAGAATCTTGACATTTTAAGTCAAAAATGCACTGAGTTACACTTAGAAATATGAAGATTCTCATTTCAGACGCTCGAGTGAAGGTGACTGGGTATTCAATAATCAGTTTTCCGTTAAATATTTCCGTGAAAAAGGTGCGTTCAGGCTGGAATCGATGCATGAGCAAGTATGTGCTTCCTTCTTAACATGTAAATTCGTAGTCTGGACATGTTTTGGAAGAGCCAGATTTTTTTTTCGTGTGTTTTTGCCATGCAGCCTTATAGTGCTGCAACAGCAAAAACATATTGTGACAACCCACGGTGTTTGTATATGCATGTGTGTGTTTGTCTGTCTTGGTATTCCACCTCGGCAGACAAACAAGCCTAGATGCTAAAGTATGCCAGTGTGTTCTCTGGCCATGTGCGATCTCAGAGATTTCATTTCAACTTTCATGCACGCCTGAGCCTCAGGCAACTACTGAAACTCAACTCGGATTGGCTTGGCTGCTGCTCTGCATCACTGCTAACGCTATTTCGCGGCGGATCTCGTCGACGCCGTCTGGCACTTTGTCAGGTGTGTTGGGCAGCGATACCGGGCGTTCAGCCATTAGATCGTGTGCGTTGGGGGAGGGGAGTTGTATTTGGTTGGGAAGGGGGTATTAGTTGGTAGATGCCCAGATACAGCTCAGGGGCACGGATTAAGGCAAAACAGAGATGAGAA